TGCATTGTCCACTCCGCTCCCTCATGCAACAGTTTGGCAAAGGATGGGGGAAGACTGTTGCTCCTCCTCTCTGCCTCTCTGTTGCGTCTGTCCTTTTGTTACTTCGCTCGCTTCACTCTCTCCACTCCCTCCTCCTTCTCTCTCTCGGCGGAACTTTGTCGAGCGGGAAAAGTTGGCGCGCTTTTCTCTCGGCCCCCCGCCTTCTTTTTTTGTGGCGCGTGCCAAGGGCTGCTTTCTGAGGGGAAAAGCAGTGCCTCTTCTCCCCATTGTTCAATCAAAATAAGATAATACTTTTTTTTTTAGAAAAAGGAAACTAGAACTAGAAATTTTAGAAAAGTTTGGGAGATGGGTTGGGGGCTGAGAGACTTGCTGCCTGTGGGGAGGGGTGACTAAAAAGACCTACTTGACTCAGTAAAGTTAGTGCCTTCAAAGAAAATAAAACAATTAAAAAGGGAAATTAGGGTGTTTGGAAGACAGCTGCGTATGAAGTCTGTGACCCCTTTTACACTGCCATACAAAATCCAAAAAATTGCTTTGAACTGGATTATATGGCAGTGTAGACTCATATAGCCCTGCTCAAAGCAATGTGGATTATCTGCTTTGATAAACTGGATTATATGGCAGTGTAGAAGGGCCCTGAGAGAATGAAAACCATCCACTTTGGAAGGCCCCATCTACGGACCCTTCCACACAGCCATATAAACCCAGAATATCAAGGCAGATAATCCACAATATCTTCTTTGAACTGGATTATCTGATTCCACACTGCCATATAATCCAGATCAATGTGAATTTTAAACAGATGTGCGGAAGGGGATTACATTACCATGTCAGACAGTTTGGTAATGTAGTTAAACTGCATTGATCTGTATTATATGAGTCTACACTGCCATATGATGTAGTTCAATGCAACTAAACTGCATTATGAAACTACATTGTATAGCAGTGCAGATGGGGATGAAAAGTAAAGTTAGTACTTTCAAATGGAAGGTTAAGGCATTTGGCCAGGATGAGTAGGACAGGCATGGGCAAACTTCAGCCTTCCAGGTGTTTTGGACTTCCACTACCACAATTCCAAATTGTAGGAGTTGAAGTCCAAAACACCTGGAGGGCCAAAGTTTGCCCATGCTTGGACTAGGACAGTGGTTTTCAACTTGTGGGTCCCCGGGTGTTTTGACCTACAACTCCAAGAAATCCCAGCCAGTTTACCAGCTGTTAGGAGTTGAATGCCAAAAACATCTGGGGACCCACAGGTTGAGAACTACTGGGCTAGGAAGACTCATGAGGTTGATTTTTGCCTTCCTTTGAAATACAGGCAGTCCCCAAGTTATGAACAAGATAGGTTTGGTAGGTTTGTTCTTAAGTTGAATTTGTAAGTTGGAACAGATACATTTTTTAAGTATAACTCCAGCCAAAAGGATATACTATTTAGATTTGGATAGCATAGGGAAGTGTTAACACACCTGTGGTGTTTGTTTTGCTGTCTGTGTTCCAGTTCAGAAGATTCACCTCACTTTCTGCCTATCTGACAATTGGATTTTGAAAAATGTGGCTTGCTGTGGAAACAAATATTGGTGAGAAAGCTTCAGTGGAGACACCTTTTCCCCATGATAACTTCCAAGAGTGAATCCCCCCCCCCCCGGGTAGATTTTTCTCACTTTCTGTTGTCCCACCCCTGTTCTTAACTATGAATCATTTGTAAGTCAGATGTTTGTAGCTTGGTTATGGAGCATACAATTTGGGGCATGTGTTGCGTATAGGGAGATGAATGAAAAAGACCTATTTCATTCTAGAAAAGTAAAGTAAATGCCTTCAATTGGGGGCAAAAAATGACCCCATGGATTTCATAGATTTGGCCAGGAATATGCAGCGAAGGCTTTTGCCTTCCTTTGAAAAATAGCTTACTATTTAGGGTGTGCGTGTATGGCCTGTGAGGAAGTGAATGCTGGCCCAATGCTGCCCTTGTCCTTAGAGAACTATGTCACTATACCTTATTTGGGGGGGGGGGGTGCTCGACATCACTACCTCATTTAGTAAAGTTAAAGTGGAGGCTAAAAGTGAGGCCATGAATTTCATAGATTTTGCCTGGATCCTCATATGGGATTGGCCATTGCCTTCCTCTGAAATATAGTTTACGATCTGAGATGTGTGTGTGTTTTGCCTGCAAGGAGGCCAGTGAAAAAGACCTAGTGCCTTCAAATGGAGGTTTAAGCCGACCCCATAGATTTCATGGATTCAGCTAGGAATATTCAGAGGAGGCTGGCCTTTGTCTTCCTCTTTGTTTATCGTGTCAGAAGCGAATTGAGGGTATAATTTATTTGAAAACACAAACTTGACATTATACTAAATGTCCTTTGACTAGTAGCTGGCCACTTGGAGTGCCTCTGGTGTTGCTATAAGAAGGTCCTTCATTGTGCATTGGTCCTTTACTTTCCTTAGAAAAGTAAAGGGCTCAGACTGCATTGTAATAGGTGGTTTGTGGGTTGCTCTTCTCCACACTTGCATGTTGTGGACTCCACTTTGTAGCCCCATTTCTTAAGATTCTTTAGATTGGCTCTGCATCTTATTGTGCCGGAGCGCAGCCTGTTCAGTATCTTTGAAAAGTCTTCTGTGTGCCTAGGAGAGAGTCTCTCATTGGGTATCAGCCATGGATTGAGTTTCTGGGTTTTAGCCTGCCACTCTTGGAATCCCATTTGCTGAGGTGTTCCTGCGAGTACCTCTGTAGATCTTAGGAAGCTATTTCTTGATTTAAGCGTGCTGGCTTATATCCAAACAGAGGATGGGCTGGAGATATCACAGCCTTGGTCCTTTCATTATTGGCTGCTACTTCCCGATAGATGTCAGGTTGCACAATACCAGCTAAACAGTATAATATCTCCAGCGGTGTAGGGTGTAGGCATCCTGTGATAATGCGGCATGTCTTGTTAGGCGCCATATCCACTGTTTTAATGTGGTGAGATGTGTTCCACATTGGGCATGTGTATTCAACAGCAGAGTAGCAAAGCTCAAGGACAGATGTCTTCATTGTGTCTGGTTGTGCCTTCCTCTGAAATATAGTCTTTGGGACATATCTGGTTTTCCTTTGCAGATCAGATGGGATATTTGAGGTCCTGTTGAGGAAGCCTGCTTGGGAGATGGGTTGGAGGCTGAGAGACTTAAAATGCATCTGTAGAATGAATACAATTTGGCACTACTTAAACTGTCATGGATCAATGCTATGGAGTCCCAGAAGTTGTAGTTTTTTTGAGGCACCACCACTCTTTGGTGGAGAAGGCTAAAGACCTTGTAAAACTACAACCCTCAAGATTCCATAGCATACAGCCATGGTGGTTAAAAGTTGGGCCAGACCAGTAATGGGCAAACTTTGGCCCTCTGGGTGTTTTGGACTTCAACTCCCACAATTCCTAACAGCCTACCAGCCAAAGTTTACCCTTGCCTGGGTCAGAAACAGCATTAATTTTGCAGTGTAGATGCACACACCCATTTTGTCTATGGGAAGCTGAATGAAAAACAACCTACTTTCCTTAGAAAAGTAAAGGGGAGTCTTTAAAACTCCATTTGGCATCTATTTTACTGTAGCCTACAATTTGCCAGCTGTCTCCTTTCAAAGTACGAGCCAGGCCAGAAAAGTTTTGCTTTGCACTTGAGACAGTCTGGGGAAAAAAATTGGGGTGATGGGTGAAAATGCTGACTCTGTCCCACCCTGATGCCTTCCTTTCTCAGATCTTTCAGATTTTGAAAAATGTGGCTTGCTATGGAAACAAAGATTGGTGAGAAAGCTTCAGTGGAGATACCTTTTCCCCATGATAACTTTCAGGAGGTGTAGATTTCTCCCATTTCCTGTTGTCTCACCCCTGTTTTTAACTATGAATCATTTGTAAGTCAAATGTTTGTAACTTGGGGACTGCTTGTGTAGCATACAATTTGGGGCATGTGTTGTGTGCAGGGAGATGAATGAAAAAAACTTACTTCATTCTAGAAAAGTAAAGTAAATGCCTTCAATTGGCAAAAATGATCCCATGGATTTCATAGATTTGGCCAGGAATATTGCCTTCCTCTGAAAAATAGCTTATTATTTAGGTTGCAGACTGCAGCCAGGAGATCAGGAGACGCTTACTTCCTGGGAAGAGAGCAATGACCAATCTTGATAAAATAGTGAAGAGTAGAGATATCACATTGGCAATGAAGATCCGCATAGTTAAAGCAATGGTATTCTCCATAGTCACCTACGGATGTGAGAGCTGAACCTTAGGGAAGGCTGAGTAAGATAGATGCTTTAGAATTGTGGTGTTGGAGGAAAGTTCTGAGAGTGCCTTGGACCGTGAGAAGATCCAACCAGTCCATACTTCAGGAAATAAAGCCCAACTGCTCATTGGAGGGAAGGATAGTAGAGGCAAAGATGAAGTACTTTGGCCCCATAATGAGGAGACAGGAAAGCTTAGAGAAGACAATGATGCTGGGGAAAATTGAAGGAAAAAAGGAAGAGGGGCCGACCAAGGGCAAGATGGATGGATGGCATCCTTGAAGTGGCTGGATTGACCTTGAAGGAGCTGGGGGTGGTGACAGCCGGCAGGGATCTCTGGCGTGGGCTGGTCTATGAGGTCATGAAGAGTTGGAAATGACTGAACAAATGAACAACAAAATATTTTTATACTAAAGGAAGGCTCCAAACAAAAACGGAGGATAACTCAGGCAGTAGGTCAGTCTATCAATAGCAGTGTTGCTATGTCATATTTTGCAGCTTTAGGGTGTATGTGTGTATGGCCTGTGAGGAGGTGAATGAAAACGATCTACCTCATTTAGTAAAGTTAAAGTGGAGGCTAAAAGTGAGCCCAGGGCTCTCCCAGCCAGGAGGACAGGTGAAAATGCAGGAGGGTTGGTGTATGTTGGGATGGATGCGCGCTCTCTCTCTCTCTGCGTGCAACAGGTAGAGAAATGTCAGAAGCTGGGCAAGCAAAGCGACGCGCGTGCAGCTGAGGGGGGCCGACGCCTTTGTTCTCGGCTGGATGCCTTTCCAAAAGTGAAAGCGGGGAGAGGGAAGCCTTGTAGCCAAAATTTTCTATCCCAGTCTCACTCCGCCCCCCTCCCTCCTTCACCCGCCCAACCGGACTGTGGGTATGGAATAGATCCCTTCCACTCATTTTCGTGAGATCAATAACTTGTCCTAAGGGAGAAGCTTGGAGGGGAAGAAAAAAAAGGAAATCAAACCTAGCCGAATCGGATTGCCAAGGGAATTGCCCTCAGTGACTTGTTAAGGGGATCCAAACAAAGAGGTGCATCTACCGGAAATAATGATGGGAGAGATTCGCTGCCTTGCCCCCTCCCGCCTCCATTAAAATTGTTTTTCTGGGAGGCTCAGTTAGAGGGAAGTTTGGAACTAGAGACTGGGATGAAGAAAGTCTAGGAAAGATTCCCCCCCACCCCCTTCCTTCCCAAAGTTGCTGGGATCGGAGGGATCCCAAGCAAAAGCTTGGGAGGGGGATCGGAGAAGGCTGAAGTTAGACCTGAGCTGGTAAGGAGGAGGGGGGATTTGAGGGGAGAGAGGTGGGAGGGGAAAGGGGTGAGAAGGAGAAACCTGCTGCCGCTTGCTGGTTCTTTGTTTGCTCTGGGAACTTGAACAAAAGAGGAAACTCGGATGAACTCTCCATCTCCTCTTTTGGGCTATCTGGTCTTCCAGGAGTTTTTCTTCCCCTCAGGCTTTCTGAACTTCCCCAAAGACCCAGCAAAACTTTCCAGCTTCTCTTCCAAAGGGGTTTCGTCTTTATTTTTCACTGTGAGGGGGGAAAAAAGCAAGGTGAGTTATTCATACATACAAAGATATGTGTATCTCTTTCTCTCTTGTTCCTTTGTGATCAATTGGAAGTGTGAAGTGGAAGGTGCTTTAGGAGGTTCTTGGGAGGGAGTAGAAGTACTAAGAGTTGTTAAAATTCAATACTTTTGTTGGTGATTATGTTCATATTTGCCATTCTTGTAGTTTGCTTATGTAAGACAGTTTGGTGGGCAGTTAGCAAGGGAGGGGGATCTGCCTGTCCCTGAGATGGGGCTTCTCATAGATTTGAACTAGAGCTTATGGGGAGGCTGATGGATCGAAAAATGCTATGGTGAAATGGTCAGACTGAAGGAAAGGTGGGCATGATGGCAGGTATGGTAAGATGCAGGTGAATATTGGTTCTTTATTGATTTGTGAGTTGGTGTAAGAAGGATAAACCTAAGAGAGGTATCACTAGATATCTCTGTACTTTTATGAAAGGAAAAGCCTACCTGGAATTGAATCATTGTGTAAGGACTCTCTTATTGTGGTAGAACTAACAATGATTAAGATGGGCGTTTTCAAAAGAACTTTAACTCATGGCCACTTCATGGTGTACCTCTGAGAAGTGTGTTTCATTGTTCATCACAGAGCTCAAGTATTTTTCACTTTCCAACTAACTTTTGGAATTTCTGCTATTTTGCTTTATATTCTAAGTTATTTCTTTTACTCTTATTTTTGTTTAACTCTTATCTTGTCTAATCTGAAGTTTTTAATAACTTTTCTTCAACCACTTTTCTCTGTATCCCTTGTTTATCTTTGCTTTCTCAAAATACCATGTTCCTTTAAACATACCTATTTTTCAACAAACTGGTCTTATCTAAAATATGCTTTTCCGTAATCCTTTGTTTAGGGGAATATCCATAAAGGGGATTTATCAGAGGTTAGCAATCAATTCATCTCACTGGGAATTCTGTGGGCCCTTCCGCACAACCCTATATCCCAGAATATCAAGGCAGAAAATCCCACACTGAGTGTGGACTCAGATAACCCAGTTCAAAGCAGATACTGGATTAAATAAGTTTAATTCCATGACGTAGACAGGCACTTAGGCCCTTTCCACACAACTGAATAAAATCCCACATTTCCTCTTTGAACTGGAATATATGGCAGCGTGGACTCAGATAACCCAGTTCAAAGCAGATACTGTAGGATTTTCTGCCTTGATATTCTGTGTGGAAGGGCCCTGAGACATGTTGGTCTGTGAGATAGACACATTATAGCTACACTGAACAGTTAGAGTGTTTTGGTAGCACTTTGGTCCATTTTATGGAATCCTGGGGTTTGTAGTTTGTTGAGCTATATAACAAGGTGCATGGAGAACAGTTAATGAGGATTAAATAAGTTTAATTCCATGATGTAGACAGACACTTAGGCCCCTTCCACACGGCTGAAAAAAATCCCTCATTTTCTGCTTTGAACTGGAATATATGGCAGTGTGGACTCAGATAACCCAGTTCAAAGCAGATATTGTGAGATTTTCTGCCTTGATATTTTGGATTATATAGCTGTGTGGAAGGGCCCTTGGAATATTTTGATAATTACAATTGGGTGTGGGGGTGGGGTTAATAACCACTTTCTAGCAGAGATTTTCACATCCATCACTAAGCTACCAATTCCAAGATTCCATAGGATAGAGCCATGGACGTTAGTGGTAACACACTGCTATAATTGAGCTGTGAAAACAGCAACATAATAGAGTCTTTTCCAACCTGAAGTCAAGTCAGATGGTTGGATACAGATTCTTATGTTCCTCAAGCCAGTATTGTCGGTGGCCTGGGATCTGAATTTTCAGCTATTTCTCCCAAATTTCCAGGTTTGTTTCGAAATCCATTCTAACTCTACTAGCATAAAACTGATTTCTGTTTAAAATGAAAGTGTGGCTGTCCACTCATGTTTCTTTCACAAGTATCTTCAGACTGTCCTATATCCAGACAGATCATTTCCTTTGTCACATATTCTTGTTGAATTGTTATAATTCTAATACTAATAATTCTAATACTCTGGTCTAATATGGTTGACAAGGGCAGCACACAGACCAGTGTCGGGAAATGTGTGACCCTTCAGCTATTGCCCCATCCTATGGTTTTCTCAATTGACTAAGTTGGCAAGGGATGATAGGAATTGCCTTTCAACAATATCTAAAGGACCAGATCCTCCTTGCCATTGTCATATGCCTTGTTTGTACTGGAATTTGTTCTCAAAATTCCTACTGTTGTAAACACTGGTAGAAAGCCAGGCTGGAAAAATGACTAATGCGGAGCGATCATTGGCAAGTTGGTTACTTTTTTGTGACTAGGCCCTACACTGAATCATGTAACATAGTATTTATGTTGTGCCAGTTTATCAAATGAAAGCTGCGGCAATGTTTGAGATAATAAATTACAATGTAATGAAAACAAAAACACTTTATTTTTTTGCATTACATGGAATTTAAAGAGATAGTTGTGTTAGTCTGGAATCAATATGTAAAGGGATCTTGTAGCATTTTAGGGATACCTGAAATAGTTAAATTAGTAGAATATACTACCAATTTCATTTTATCCATCTCTAAGGTGCTTCAAGATCTTTTTGATTCTGCATGATGTAGGTATGTAGAATTCAATAGACAAATTCTCTTTCAGGGAATTCTGAGTCTCTCACAAAGGGTGCATCTACACTGTAGAATTAATGCAATTTGACACCACTTTAACTACTGAGGTTAATTGCTATGGAATCTTGAGGCCTGTAGTTTTACAAGGACTACAGTCTTTTTTGGCACCTCACCAAACTACAATTCCCAGGATTCCATAGAATTAAGTTATGGTGGGTAAAGTGACTGTCATTATGCTTACAGTAGATACGCCCAAAGTTACCAGTCTCAGGATTCCATAGTATGGAGCCATTCTGATTAATGTGGTATATATAAAGCAGTTGTTACTGAGCAGTATATATACATTCAACTTGTTCCACCGTTTGATGCTTTTAAGTTTTGACTTCTGTTCCTGAAATCCTTGTGTGTCTTATTATTTTATTCTGTTTCTTCCTGTTTGTACCTTCATACAATGTATTTATCTGAATTTGCCCCTTACCAAACTTCTTCAATTTATCTATCTATTTATTTATTTATTTATGATTTATTTATTTATTATATTTATGGCATTTGTATACAGCCCTTCTCAATCCCAAAGGGGACTCAGGGCAGTTTACAGTGTTAGCAACAATTCAATGCCATTGATAAAAAACAGTATAAAACATCAAAATTGACCCTCCCCTGATAAAACATTAAACATTATTAAACACAGCACATAAAATAACATCACATATCACACAAAGACACTCTACTGAGGCCCTTCCACATAGCTGTATGAAATTCACGTTGAACTGGGTTATATGGCAGTGCGGACTCAAATAATCCAGTTCACAGCAGATATTGTGGATTATCTGTCTTGATATTCTGGGTTATATGGCTGTGTGGAAGGGCCCTAAGTGCAGGTTTCTATGGCTTTTCGAAAGCATCATTGTAGTTTCAAATGACTAGCTAAGTAATTTGTGATTTGGGTTTAAGAAACTGCAATTGGTACTTCATTGTGCTGTTTGCAGCTATCCTATGGCTTCATGCTTAACAAAATCTTAGTAAATTATGAAAAGGGAAGTTGATGTTATAGTATATGGTGATGTAATGGCACTGCTGATTCATACAACTTCCATCATTATAATAATGTTGGAGTTGTAGGAATCAGCAGTGCAGTTTGGTTAGAAAAATGAGACTACAGTTCTGTACATATTGAGGTTGGAGTAGGTCCTCTTGGAGACAATAAGCGTTACTTCTGAGTAGACAACTTTAGTATTTATATTTGAAAAAAACTAAATGCAACTTGAAAGGGTTGTATGCCTAAAGTGTACAAGTGAGCAACTAGGGCCTCTACTTCATTTGCTGTAGCTGGCTAAGCAAGGAGGAAGGGGACAGGTAGAGAAAAATACACATTATGTTTGGGCTGGTTCTACCCATCACCAGCACTGGGCCTTTGACAAATTTCCCCAAGGAAATGTGACCTTAACAGGGAGAAGAAAGAGTTGTCCATCTTTACTCTAGTTCAACAAGTCCTCCACGAAGTGCGTGTTGCCCAGCATACATGACTGGGGCAAACTGCTGAGACTCTCAAGTTCTCAGCCATTTTCTGAGTAAATTGTAACTACATTTGGAAAGACTATCACAACAAGCTTATTTGCATAATTACAATGCTATTTAGAAGTTATACAATGGTTGTTGCAGGATCACTGGGGTAGTAGATCTGTTTTGGGCTTCAGTCTATACTTCAGAGATCTAAGGTCCCTAATATCTGGACTAAAACCTGGAGCAGGTCTATTGTCCTTCTGACATTGGTGTCACAAGTTGTTATGTAACTGATATTACACATACACTTAAATCCTTTTCTTTTGTAAATACTGCTTGAAAGAGGTCAATTTGGAGAAGACATGAGAAGGAAAGGACCACCCAATTGTTCTTCTGCTGGTATACTTTACTTCAAAAATTCCCCTCTTCAATCTTCCTTTCTCTCTATTAGTACTGTAGGGCCTAGGGCCCCTTCCATACAGCTGAATAAAATCTCACATGTTCTGCTTTGAACTTGAATATATGGCAGTGTGGACTCAGATAATCCAGGGCCCTCCCACACAGCCCTATATCCCAGAATACCAAAGCAAGAAATCCCACATTTTCT